AGGTTTCTGGATAACTGGACTTTTTTACTCAAGGCTGGGGGGTGGAGGTGGAAAACTGTTCAGCGTTTTCAGTGACTGTTTGGTGTACAATTAACTGTCAGAGAATACGCTGTTAGACTGGGCGGACTGCTTGTGTTATCCCTTACTTTGACAGAACGTGGACAATTTCTTCAGTAAATGAATGAATACCTTTTGTTTTTCCCCCCTCTCTTTCCAACCTAATTGTGAACCGAAGTTTAGAGCTTTTATAAAGTGTTATGTTTGCTAAGAGCAAGCATTTATGAGCAGAGAGAGTGGTTTCCCATGAAACCGCTTGGCCATTAAGATGTTCAATAGATTTGTGTTCAGTGGTAGCTGGAATGATGTCAAAATTATGTCGCTTTTAAAATGCCAGCTTATTTTGGAATCCCTGGGTTGAACTACTTTAACTGTATCGAGCGCTTTCAGCGAAGACGTTTAAATACGATACTCGCTTAGCTACGAAGTCTGCTCAAACTTAAGTTTGTAGTAAAGCTCTTGATGTGGGTGGCAACAGGATCCTACTTTTGTATTTTCTTTCGCAATAACCGATTAAATGACCGTTTCCTTCTTTCTTTCTCTCCCCCTCCTCTTGCAGTTTTGATGTGCACAAGAAATGCCCGCTTTGCGATGTGATGTTTCCACCCAACTACGATCAGAGCAAGTTTGAGGAACACGTCGAGAGTCACTGGAAGGTGTGCCCCATGTGCAGTGAGCAGTTCCCGCCTGACTACGATCAGCAAGGGTTTGAGAGGCATGTTCAGACGCACTTTGATCAGAACGTGTTAAATTTTGATTAAATACTTTGTTTTGCGGCGTAGCTTAAAACCCCACAACTTGAGTCGTCCACCTCCGGAACAGCAGCAGTGCAGCTTTTCTGTAACAGTGCAAACTTCTGATTAAAAGCTAACGTACTCTAATGGGAGCCGTGACAAACGGCGGCTGTAAGCTGCTGTTGGGTTATCTTTTCTCTCTACCTAACCTTATACTAAAAAAAAAAACCCCGCAAACCCCCACCTTGTCGTGTATGTAGCTATTTATTCCCCTACTTAGCGGAATTTGTAAGGACACGGGAATGGCTTGGCCTCAGAGAAAATGAGACCAGCTTCACGATGCTCTTCAGCTACATAAAAATGCCACCAAAACACCTCGGGTTTCTCTGGACCGTGATAACTGAGGCATGATTAAAAATGTAATAAACGGATGTTTCTCCTAGCAAATTTGTGTAGTTTTTCTTTGAGTAACAGTTAAACCAGCAAGTTCCGTTACTTACCCTATGAAGATATAGTTTTCTAGTACCTTTCTGAAATGTAGATGCATGTACTGTGAGATTACATGCTTGCAACAAAAGGAGTGGCAAATACTTCAGTTCTACACGTATAGAACGTCTGCCTTAAGGGATAATGTTGAATTAGGTACGTCGTACCTTAAGGCGGTATTTTTGAGTTGAAAGAAACTGCTGTGCTTAAATGCCTATAAGTAATTGTTTAAAAAGAAATCATTGCCGTTACGTTGCAGTTGCATCCAGTAGAAAATATTGTTACATTTCCCCAACAGTGAACTGTGTTCTGTTGGCTTAGGGCTTTTAAAACCTTCTGCGTTTTAACTTCATGTATTTCTTTCCAGTAAGTACAAACATGTGTGTATATCTAAACATTTTATATTTACTTTAACTGCGTTACGTAAATTTGCTTTCCACTTGTTGTACAGCAGCCTTGTTACATTAAAAGCAAAACTATTCATGGAGTCGGTGGTCCTTTTTCCCTGCTGCTCATTTTGAAATAAAACGGAGTTGAGGCTTTACATAGTTACAGTAAACGATGTTTCAGCTTTGTATGACAAAGAAACTGTTGCTCACATCTATTCATGGTCTTCCTTTGAGAGAGAGACTCGGGGATCAAGGTTTTGAGTAGCTTCTGTTGGCCGCGGTTCTCCCCTGAACACGTGCAATATCCTGTTCAGTGCAGGATTTATTGAAGGCTGGATGGCACGGGTAGATGGCAGTGTCTTGGGCAGCAGCTACCCCCGCAGTCCCCGTGGTCCGTCTTAAGTCTGAGATGATTCTTTTTTTTTTTTTTTTTTGAACTGTGAACTTCATGTCAAGAGATGGTCTGAGGTAAGGCACGGAAATGGCCATTTCCAAAAGAATATTGTGGCAATTTTTTTTTCTTGCCGTAACTCGACAGCATGAGAACAGTTAGAACAGGCTATAAAACCAAAATATTAGTAGTTATCGTATTACTGAAGAAAGACTGACGAGGTCTCAGAGGCTGGCATCCCACACAGGCAGGACAACCTCAAAAGCCGATTGTGCCAAAGCAGGGACTTCTCTTAGATGTGTGTGTGTGTGTGTGTGTGTGTGTGTGTGTGTGTGTGTGTGTGTATGGGGAATTACTGAAAAAGTTTCCCGGTTGAATAGCCACCCTGACATGGCTGCTTGACATCACCCCCCCAGTGAGTCTGCGGGTACGTGACAGAAGCCAAATGCCTCTACCACAGCCTGACCGAATTTTAAAATTTCAGTGATTTCTCCTTTCACAGTGACAGCCACTTCATCTCTGCAAACCTTTAGAGGAAAGGCAACCCATGTCCTACCCACAGAAGGGGGCTTCTGTAGCATCCGCACCAATTTTACCTGGTTACCTGAGCCCTCTTGCCACGGTGGAAGGAAAGAGCCTGTGAAATCTGAAGTCCTTTTGACTGATGAAGTCAAAATACTCCTTTTGTTGGTTTGTTTGTTTCTCCAGGCTGCAGCATTCTGTGTCATTAATGGGGTAGTGCTTAAGTTGCTTCAGGCGTTTCTTGAACCCACAGTTTGATGATACCGAAGTAAAACAGACAAATGAAAGACCACATACAGCCCAAGAACTCAACTCTTCAGGTTAGTAACGAGTGAAGAGCAGTCTTTTTAGGTCAGAGGCAGTTTATTTTAAATGTGATTTGATTTACATTTATAAGCAGCTTTCTTGACAGGAATTCTTTAAGTTGCCTTCAGTTCTAAAACAAACCTCTGTCACTTTCAAACTTAAAGTACTTTGTCCCCAACAAAACATATGAAAATATAATTTAAAGCACACTTTTCACAGACACAGTACAATACATTCACTATACACAGTATAACAAAATAGTCCCATCTTTACCTGGTTAATAATACTGTCACAATGAATAGGTAAATAGAAACTGGAATTCCATTTTCATAGTTGAAAGGAATTTACATGCAACAATGACGTTTTACGACTGTTTAGCTGTTGAACGGACTTACCCAGCCTGTCGTTTCTTGCACTAGGAGCAGAGCCAAAACGTAGCTGTTGGCCAGATCTGTTGCCAAACTGTGGAAGGTAGGAAGTGGCCACCTGGGGCCCCTTGTGGGCTGGTAACTCTCATGTCTGGATCATCCTTTAAACCCAGCTGACAGCACCGTACGACACGACCACTGTCGCCTCTCTAGGATTTGGAAAAGGGATGTTCTGTTTCGGTTCGGGTGTTCTAAACGCTTAGTCATTAGGATGGTTCCTAAGTGTTTTAACGAGACTTTTGCTCTGCTGGAGAATAGCTAATTGTCATCCTGACAAAGTTTGCCTTTAAAGCTTCGGGGGGGGGAAAAAAAAGAGGGAAAGCTCATTCCTCCTTTACTTGAGCTGCCTTTTGCCCTTAGAAGAACAGGAACGGAGCAAAGGCGGTTGCTGTGTTTAATGCGGGGAGTTCCTCCCTAACCCTCACCGTGTAGGAAGTGTGTCGGGGCTGGGGCGGGGCCAAGAATAGCACTTGTGAGAGAAGAAGGCTCAAGGCAGGATGGTAAGCAACAAATGTTCAGGTATGCTCCAGCCACGAAGCGCTCTCATGTTGGCTTTTGTTTTAAGTCAGTCTCTGACCATCTGCTGCAAGAAGCACTTAATCTTCAGTAAGGCTCATATGTCAGCAAAATGAATTGTAAAGCTAAACAGACGCTTCCAAATGGAATGCGGTGACCTACGACGAGAAGCAAAAAAAAAAAAAAAAAAAAAACAAACACAAAGAAAAATCTCAAAATGCAATGAACGTGAGGGAGAGGCATCAGAAGCTCCCTTAGCACAAATAATGGACCTCCTCAAACCATGCGTAGAATTGTTAATTTTTATTTGCAACCACAGGCACATGCTCGTACAGTAGTTGCAAGAATTGGCAACACATAAAACATTAAATCTGTTGGCAATAGAGAACTACAAAGTGCTTTAAAACTTCATCTGAGATGAAGATAATTGTTTCTCACACACACACAAATTTGCACTTAAGTATTTCCAAGTGTCTTTCTAACAGATAGCTCAGGGGTAAGTATTTAGTTGGACTGGGATCTTGGTCCTCAAAAGTTTGATGGGCATGAACATAAGATGACATCTCGTACAAAAAAAAAGTAGTAATTTCTAACGCTAAAGTGATTGTTTACTAGTTCAAATGGCAAGATTTTCAGCATTTCCGGGGGGGGGGAAGATTCGCAGGATAATATAAAATACAGCAAGCACACCTTTTTATGTATGTTATTTAAGTATGAAAATATTTTTAGCATATTATGTTAAACATTCTTTCTTATTTATATTTCCGTTACCTAAAAGACTTGCTACTCCACCGATAACTCCATTACGTAAGGCATGTTAACTAGTTTGACGAGGGTGGTATTGTTTTGGTTTTGCACGCACATTGACGGACGCGTTGGAAGTCGCCATCAGGTTACAATCTCGAAAGGATGTCAGTGCCAAGCGCTCCTCCTCTCACTCCTGTTCAACGCTTTTACTTCAGTACAACTAAATACGCAACGCCCCCCCCTAATTTTTTTTTCTCGTTTTGGAGAAGAATGTTCTGAAGAACCTATAGCTTTTATAGCACCTTATCTCAAAGTAATGAAAATGGGTATGATGATTACATGTGCAAATGTACAAAATCATTAACTCTACAAAGATACATCATTCCAAAATTACAGAAAATTTTAAAGCATGCATTTAATTTTTTGAAAGGGTTGCTGAATGCTTCCCCTGAAAAAGGTGGCTGTTCTCAAAATCAGCAACTGCTGGTGAGGATTTCTTGGCACGTTTGTGACCAGCATGTTATTGCTGCATCTTCCTGATAATCTCAGCAGACACGGGGGGATGGAAATTGATTGTGTGGTGCCGCAGGCCCTGAGCTGTCTTGTAACTCTTTCCACAGCGACATTTGAATGGTTTGCGGACGCGGATTTGCGTTCTGTGGCCGTTCTTGGCATGGTACTTTATACCGTTCACATTCTGTGAGTGAAGAAGTAAAATGTTAGTGGTCAAGAGGTCTGATAACGGCTTGGCTTCCTGTTAAAAAACCAAAAATCCATTAACGTCAACGGGCAAAATCACACAGATTGCTAGGAGCTCCCGCTGGGTGTTACGCATGGGTTGGGCTTCCAGGATACGAGGTGGGACAAGGAGGAGAATAATCTCTGCGGTTCTAATGCATGCAATGTGCCTACCTGGGTAATACTGGTTTTTATCTCCCAGCGGATGCCACTTTCCAAAAAGTACCATTTAATGGGCTCACACAGAGATGTTCTTTGCTCACACAGAGATTTTTTTCTTCGTATAACATTGACAAATTTTATTCAGAGGTTCATTTACAAGGAAACAAAGAATTGGCATGAAGACTCGAGCCACGCTTCTTCTAAAAGCTGAAGCTCCCCCCCGCCCCCGGTGCGTTTGTTCCGTTTTGTGTCATTGTTTCTAGATACGTCTTTAGGCACCAGCAAATTCTGACAGTTTACACATTGGCTCCAAAGAATTAACTGCAGGGAACGCTTTAACTTTGAAAGAGTTACACAGGGCACTCGGAAAATAATCCAGAGAAGCCGCCTTCAAAACAGCTATCGTTGGGGAACATTCTACAGCTAAAACTAGAGAACTCATCGCCAACTCTAGTTTGGGGAGAAAGAACAAAAAACCAGCACCACAGCGCACTTTTAACCCTTATACTGGCACAGTCAGGAAGCAGGCAACACTTTTGCTAGATTAATCGAGAACCTTACTAAACATACATCAAAATCATGCCCCTGTCCTCCTCTTCACCTCTTTCTGGCAGAAGGGGAAGAAGCTGTTGTGGTCTCACTCGTATGCGATACCGCTTTCTCTAGGATTCATCTTACTGGAGTCTCTCTTACCTGCCTCCACTAAAAGAGCCTGGATTTTGGATAAATGAGAAAAGGCAAACTGTCTTTCATTAGAGCTTCTCGTAGGAAGAAAAAAGATGCCAAAACAATTTGTGGCAAAGGCGCAGCTCCGAGGCTCTACTGTGTCCTCTCTAAAGTTTCCAGATACGTATCTCAGGGTTTTTTTTAAACTATTAAAAAAAAGACAAAATCAATTAACAGCATGGATATTAATTAACCCACTAAATTAAAAGTTTCAGGGATTTTGTCTTTGCTGAACCACTGCCTGGTGTTACACATAATCGAGTTAATCGAGTGCACCCTCAGTAAGTTTGCAGACGACACCAAGTTGGGCGGGAGTGCTGATCTGCTCGAGGGTAGGAAGGCTCTGCAGAGGGACCTGGACAGGCTGGATCGATGGGCCGAGGCCAACTGTATGAGATTCAACAAGGCCGAGTGCCGGGTCCTGCACTTCGGCCACAACAACCCCATGCAGCGCTACAGGCTTGGGGAAGAGTGGCTGGAAAGCTGCCTGGCGGAAAAGGACCTGGGGGTGTTGGTCGACAGCCGGCTGAACATGAGCCGGCAGCGTGCCCAGGCGGCCAAGAAGGCCAATGGCATCCTGGCCTGTATCAGAAATAGTGTGGCCAGCAGGAGCAGGGAAGTGATCGTGCCCCTGTACTCGGCACTGGTGCGGCCGCACCTCGAATACTGTGTTCAGTTTTGGGCCCCTCACTACAAGAAGGATGTTGAGATGTTGGAACGTGTCCAGAGAAGGGCAACGAGGCTGGTGAGGGGTCTGGAGAACAAGTCTGATGAGGAGCGGCTGAGGGAGCTGGGGTTGTTTAGCCTGGAGAAAAGGAGGCTGAGGGGAGACCTCATCGCTCTCTACAACTACCTGAAAGGAGGCTGTAGCGAGGTGGGTGTTGGTCTCTTCTCCCAAGTAACTGGCGAAAGGACAAGAGGAACTGGCCTCAAGTTGCGCCAGGGGAGGTTTAGATTGGACGTGAGGAAAAATTTCTTTACTGAAAGAGTGGTTAAACATTGGAACAGGCTGCCCAGGGAAGTGGTTGAGTCACCATCCCTGGAAGTATTTAAAAGACGGGTAGATGAGGCGCTTAGGGACATGGTTTAGTGGGCATGGTGGTGTTGGGTTGACGGTTGGACTCGATGATCTTGGAGGTCTCTTCCAACCTTAATGATTCTATGATTCTATGATAACAAAAGTCCCCTTGGCTCTTTTTAAGCAGCAAGTTCAGTTTTATCAACATGCAGCTTACAGTAAGAGGAAGCTCCAGCTTGGAACTCACAGCGTTTAGACAAGTTAGACAATTTGTTTAAAAAAAAAAAAAAAAGGGGAAAAAGCCTTCAGTTAACAGAACAGAGCTACAACTCCTAAAGCTTCGGAAGACTCTATATACATCAGAAAGCAAACCCCAGAAAGGCACGAGGTTAACGCCTTCAATACCACTCTCCCGCCAACACTTCCCTTTCTCCTCCCCTACCGCCTCATCCAACTTCTTCTCAGTCAGAATCTCAAGTGTTACGTCCCACTCCTGAGAGAGACAGTCCCCCTGCGTGCTGCCCTCCACTGCCCTGCTCTAACCACAGCTCACAACAGCAAGCAAAAGAAGGATGAGGAACTCGCTGCTCCCATCAGGGAAGTAGGGAGGAGTGTAACTGCGAGAGAAACCGCCCAGTCTCCCAGATAGCTACGGTGTTCTCACCTTACAATGTAAAATGCTGGTCGTTACTTATTACACGTTAGCTGTGCCACGGCAGCAATGTATTTTAAATCTTTAAGCAAAAACAGTTCTCTGGTTTCAATCATAAAGTTGAGCGTGGTACTGCTCTCGTCAGAACTCGTAATGCCCAGTGGAGTCTGTACCGCTGAAGTGGCATTTCGGGGCAGCCTGGGTGTCCGGATGATTTGTGGCAATCCTTTAGGAAAGAAAAACTTAGCCTAAAATATCCACCCTGGAAAAAGGGTACGGTGCAAGACTCCAAGCAACTGCTTTGCCCACAAATTCATGCTTCTCTCCTCTAGAGCATCCAGCCACTGAATCCTCGCTTGAAGTCCCAAGTCCAGCCCCCAAATTGTCCTTTACATCCTTAAAAATACTGGACAACTCCTACACAGCTGTCGTCTGAGATGTGGGAGACGAGAATCTTCAGTCTCCAAGACAAACCAGACATACGAATGTGAGCCTTCAGGGCAGGTTACTTCTGGGTGAAGAGTATTCAGAGGAGGTAGAATGCCGTACCACCAAGACAGACAAGAGCACATCAAAGCTACAAATCACCCTCAAGAGCAGTCAAGTGAATTCCCTGCAAGTTATCCGAGATCCTGAGGCAGCTTTTAGATGGTTTTGCATGCAGTTACAACCTTCAGCACCCGCAGGACCACCGAGGCAAGGAGGCCGGGAATGTCACTGGATGTCATGAGGATTGTCATAAGGCATCTGTCAATACCTGAAGTACCGTTAAGGACCTGCGCCCTCAAAGAAGAGAAAATCCAGGGGTGACCTGCTAAACTCTTGCTACTGCGGTGGAATTTTAAAAACGAAGCTACCCCCAAACCCTATATATATTCTGGAAACTACAGAAACCTGTTTAGACTTTTAATTTTTGTAAGAAATCACTTTAAGATACTTTTAAACTAGTATCAATTGCTACAGATGCCATAAACCTGCAATCACAAATCTCCTCACTATTCCATGCCAATGGTACTCTTCTCCTGATCCAGATTTTTTAACGATCCACTCGGCCTCAAGTACCCCACGCGCTTTGATGAAGGGGGAAAAGTACTTTCAGGCAGAAAAATTTAAGGAAATGCTAAACCAGAAACCTACGTGGAATGAATTGGGCCATGGAAGGTTTGAAAAATAGTAAACCACGTGGAGTATGAGGAGCCAGTATAACATGAAATTTGACCTGTACTCCTGTCTAAAAGAAAACTGTTGTTAGAATTACAGTTGACTCTTCAGCACTTTTTCCACTGCTGTAATGTAAACACTTTGTTGTATGTCTGGGCCGAGTTTGTCGAGGTATGGCAAAACCCACTGCCAAACTCATACATCACTTTTATTGCTCTGGTTACTTAGGTTGCTCATTATTTACTCTCACAAATGACTGAGGAAGAAGATGGCAGTATAGAAGGGCACTCTCAAATCTTACACGGGAGGAAACAATTATTAACCCGGGACCAGATCAGGAGGAGATAGGGAAGTTTAGACTGGCACTGCCTGGTTTGCATGGACACAAGGACACTTGCTGGGCAGGGCCCCTTGCACGGCAGTACTCATGAAGCCACTAGACTGCAGAGAGCTTGCCACCCCCTTCAAGTAGGAAAAGAGACGTCAAGGATGGTTTGGGAGGATTTCTTCTTTCAGACTTGGACATTCATGGATGTTTTTGTACCTCCTGAAGTTTTCTTTGTGGGTCCAGTTCCTCTTTGCTCAACTTGCAAGCTCTGGCTTGCTCCTTTCTTTCAAGTAAATTCCCTTTTTCCCCTCTCTCACTTCAATATTCTTCCTCCCTAAGCTCTGCCAAGTCTCACTCCTCTTAGGTCAGCCTTCCTGGGGGTTTGCCCCACCCGACAGGCCTAGGACCCTCGTCCCATTACCTGCCAGAAAGACAAGGCATTCTTGGAAGGTACCACTTCTCCTCGTGCCCAAGGCCAAAAAGCAGTCATGCATGTAAGCTACATTTTGTATGCATGGAAATATGTTATTCTTCTATTATTGTATTTGCACAAACTAGAAAAATTATGACAAATACTCCAGGGTTTTCTCTATAATAGTATATATGCATTATTTGTGGGGTTTTTTTGTATCTATCTGTCATGTCTCAAACTTCATTTGCTCTTTGGAAGTTGCCTGAATAAGTTTATCTACATCATACACACATTTTGAACGTCCTTCTCCAGAGCTAGAGACCAAATAACTGGCACACATAGGTGGTATTGAATAAAAGGAAAACTAATTGCCACCTTCATAAATCCACACTTTAGCTCCTACAGGTGGCATTTTGCAAAGCATGTTAACTACTCAATACCCACACACTTCTGGACAGGGCATCTAACCGTGGATGTAAATCCAAAATCTGGTCAGGCTGAACTCCACAGAAACAAGGCTAAGATCTTTGGGTTCCTTTGAATCACGCAGATGATTTTCTAAAAATCAAATTTAAGGCATCAAATACAAATCGTATGAAGAAAAAAAATATCCATAAACGGCAAACTATAAAATACGTATAATTTGTTCTCTAGGTCAGTAACCATAAGAAGAAGAAAGCAAGCTTCAGAAATTAGTTCAGAGGCTTGTGTTTTAAGCATCTAGAAGACAGTGTGCTCCAGATTCATTTCGCTGTTTCTGACTACCCCACAAACAAATTTACATGTCATTAAAATCCCCCCCCCGAATCTTCAGCTCCTCCAGAAAATCTGTGCCATATTATATAGAGTACCAATACAGCAAGCAATTTTATTTCTTAAAAACCCATAAAGTTCCTGAAGAACAACTAAATGTTTATGACTCACTTCTACCGCACTGCCTATGGGAAACCACCAAGAGATAGCAGCTGGGCAGGAGGCCAGTAGGGTCTTCTGATATTCATCAGGGCTTGTGTATAAACATGTTCTCGTTACAGTTTCCATTGTCCGCCCCAGCCCATTCCTTGGGAGTATTTGTTGTACTCATTTTTGTCTTATTTACCTTTCCATAATGACTTCTCAGTGCAGAGGCCATCTTTTGTCCTTGTGCATTGTTTGCAAAAAGGAGCCCCATCCCTACTGGGCCCTTTAAGCTGTACTGTAATACAAATAACACATCTAAAAATAACATTTCTGCTTCTCAAAAGTACGTCACCTAAGGCCAGACAAAAGAAAACTGTGTATATTCTCCTTTCCTCCTCGCTCCCTAAAGGAATGCATCCTTTCTCAGCCGTAAAGTGAGCCTGGCAATTACTGTATGTGCCTGTCCGTGTTCCTGTTTGGAGCTCTCTAATTGTTTTACAGCCCTGACTGTGATTATTCAGTACCCACCAGAAAATCCCTGTGCTTTGATCACAGGACTCCCTACCCAGATTCCGCAAATAATTCATCAGAGGAGGGGGTTAAGCAGAAGGAAGATGAAGAGGAAACAAGAAACGCAGCTGACACAAAGCTAAAAGGAAGGAAACAAAGACAAAAATGCGAAAAGAAAAAAAATTAGGCTGAAAAGAAAAAAGGGAGGAAACAGAGTCCACAGAAAAGAGAAACGAGGTGAGGCAGAGTTTAAGGAAATGTATTTTCCTATCAGGACTAAACAGAGGTGAGTCTCTTAGGAAAATACGGTACTTTTTATTTGCTGCTGCTCTCTGTCTGTCAGCCTCTCTAAAGGTTGTTAATTTGTTCCCTGTCCGACTGTTCTAACATTAATGGTGTACAAGATATCCCTTAGACAGTCCTCATGCATTTGAGATGAAGGTAGTGAGATAGCAGAAGCAGGCAGAAACAGCTTATTTGGGCAATAAAAAGACAGAGGGCTGGCAGTCAAACAGAGAACAGACAGGATATGGCAAATTACAGGGTTCTCCTCCTAGCCTTTGCCATTAAGTGCATGTTTTCTGCAATGCATAGATGCCCTGTGGGCACAGTGACTTCTAACAATTACCACGGCTTGTTTGTTTCCTGAGCTAGGGATTTAGCTTTTATGCTATACCCTTCATCTGGCACAGCTTCTACCACACACCAGAAAAGTATTAATCTTGAATAACGTGGGTATATCTGCAAAGTAATACTTGCAAACAGTCTGAAAACATCTTTCCCCCTGCCCTGCCCCTGGAGGTGCTGTTCAGTTTTTCCTGTAACTGAAGAGAATAAACATTACATAGTTAAGGCTAATCTCTGCAAAAAAAGACTTGTATGTCACTAAGAAATAAGCACGCTGCTTTCTTGCTCATGTTTTAAGTAAGTATTGTCAGTATTAACTGATCTGTATAGGAGTCCCAGTCTTGTGATTCGCTGCTATGGGAGCTGCCGCTGTTCAGAACAGCTGCAGCATCACCGAAACACGTTTTTGTCTACTACACGATTTCATGCACAGTTTATTCATTCTTGTCACAACTGTTTTATCTCAAATGTTATTGGTCTTCCTATATTTCGCTTTCATATTTCTGTTCTCTTTTAAGTCCCTACTTTTCAGTTATTTAAAGGAAAAGCCATAAAATAAAACTAGTATAAAACCAACCCAACCACCACTGCTTTTTCTAGGGTATAGGTCAGTGGTTGAATTTTCCAGCACTTCATGCAAAAACTTCAGAAAATGATTTGAAGGAACTATGCTAACATGCTATTTCTGTTCCCAAATTTCAATGACTATAGAATACCATACTGAAGTCCAAGCTGCTCAGTACAATTTTATCTGTCCCTGCACTGGTTCACGTGAAGCAATACTCCTCTCCTCGCAAAATCACGGCATGTTCTATACCAGCCAGCTCAAGGTTCAAAGTTAGAGATGTTTCATTCCCATAAACAGACAAAACTTTTTCATGATGGAGAGTAACTAAAAAGGGGGGAGAGGGATTGTTTCACAGCACGTCACACAGAGGGATGCAAGCCCTGCACATGGGGCCAGACACACTGCCGGCTGTGTGGACGGGTCATGGGGACTCAGACCCAGGACAGAACGATGCCAGGATTTCCCCGAGGCTCTGCCTTCCCGAGGTGACCTCTGACTTGCAAAATGTTAACCACCACCTTCCGCGTATCACCTTTACCAGGAAAAGTACCCTCCCTGGGCACAGTCTCACTAAAGGAGAGGCAGCGTCTCTAGCAGTTAAGCAGAAGGAATTCATTCTGGCACTGATGGGCAGAAGCTTTTTATTTAGTGTCTCAGAAAGGGACCCAGGAGATGATTTTGCTGGTAGTACCTCCTGCATTCTGCAGTTAATTTGTCTAAATAATAGAAAGCTAGTTAAAATGTGTAAAGCAGAAGAGTCACTATATGTAATCTCTCTTGACAGACAGGGATGCAAAAGGCTACATCCTTTGTAAAACTGGTAACTTGGCTGTGCTTGAGAGGAAACCAGTGAATAAAATATGTACTCTGCTAAAATACCACGAAAATAAATGTGAAAAGTCTATTAAACGAGAAAGGTACAAATTTATTTT